ATCAGCTCTGGTGTTCTATTGCACAGCAGGGTGACTAAAGTATTGTCTATTTCTAAATAGCAGGTTAAAATATATTGTATATTTCTAAATAGCTAAAAGATAGATGGTGAACTCTTGTTCCCTTTCTTTAACAAGTTCAAAGGACATGTAAGTGGTGGAGCAAGTACTCAGATATAGGCACTCTGTCATCAGTTTGCTCTGACAAGACACAACGAAAGTTGTCATCTTTTTCTATTAAAACCATAATTACTCTCGTACCAACCTAATACTTTTTCCTTACTCATATCATTATCATCACTCTTGAAACTACAAAGCATCTTCATATATATGGGCAAAGGGTATAGGTGTTAAGGTATCTTAAGTTATCTTTACCACCTCTCCCCTTAGTGAAAATCATCCATTCATTCATTTGTTCATTCATATGCTAAGTCTTTTTATAAAGAAGGTGTTACATGTTTTTCAGGTCCTATTAACTTGGAAAGTGAAGGAAAGATGCCTGGATGATATTTAAATAAACAGTATTAAATCTGTTCTCTAAGTGAAAAAAAAATAATCTAAGTTGATAGGCTTAAGATAGCATGAGACATTCTGGGTTTAAATACATTGTCTGGGTATCTCCACCAGGATTGAGGAGGTTCACAAGCAGGAGCGTCCACTGATTTACTGAGGGCAGGGAAAAAGAGGATATGCTGGAAGAAGAGAATCATGCTAGGAGAAAGGACACTCTTCTAATTTTACCTAGTATCACAAGCAGAGAAGGTGGTATCTGGCTTTCAGAAATATTCTCCTCCAGTGAAGCACTAAGCAGAATGACTGGGGGTATCTGGTCTGGCATAGTGAAACTTGGAGTTCTTCCATCTCTTGGAAGATGTAGACATGGCCATATAAAAGGAAGAGCACACTGCATGCTCACCAAGCATATATTTACATCCTGCTCACTTCCAAATGTATTAATTTTCCCTGTTTTTTTTTTTGCCTGCTGATCTCACAGGCTATCTCCCCTCTTCAATTTCTAAATATCATCTCACTTATTCATTTTCTCTTGGCTATTTTGTTCTCCAGACTCAGCAATCTTCTTAGACATGGTTTTCTTCTTTCTTTTTCAGCCCTGTGGCTTTACCAGGGACCCCTTGGGCAGTACCCTTCTTACCTTCATCTGATTGATTCCCCAGGATCTCTCCTCTCTGACTCTGTGGAGAACCCCATTTAGTGCAACCCTGACTTACAGGTAGTGCCTACCTAGGCAGTAAAACCTTGCGTCAAGGTTGGCCAAAATATGCTTAGTATTTATCAATTTCTAAATTTCTTAAAAAGGAATAATAAAAAAGTACTCTTTTACACATTTAATTGAAAACATTCAACAAAAATTGTATGACTACTGTGTTCCAGGTACTATGTAAAGCCATAGGCAAAAATACTGAACAGAGGTAAAAATACTGAACAGATTTCAATCGATGGGAAGCTTACAGACTAGTAGTATACTTGATCACTAGCATTATCTGGTTACTTGCAACATTTTAAACAATATTTGGAAAGCTTTATGAGACTTGCTGCTATAAGCCAGGCACAGTGCTTGCTCACGCCTGTAATCCCAGCACTTTGGGAGGCCAAGATGGGTGGATCATGAGATCAGGAGTTTGAGACCCGCCTGACAAACATGGTGAAAACCCGTCTCTACTAAAAATACAAAAATTAGCCAGAGGTGGTGGGTGCTTGTAATTCTGGTTACTCAGGAGGCTGAGGCAGGAGAATCGCGTGAACCCGGGAGGCGGAGGTTGCAGTGAGCCGAGATCATGCCATTGCACTCCAGCCTGTGCAAAAAGAGTGAAACTCCATCTCAAAAAAAAAAAAAAAAGCTTGCTACTATAGAAATGACAACAAACTTATTTTTATTTTGTTAAATTTTCCTTCAATCCAGGAAGACAGACAGGAGACAACAAACTTAATCATAGAGAACTATATGGCAGCTTTTACTTTTAGTAGTTGTAAAATATATTGTAAAGCTCCTCTAGTCTTTAGAAGTCTCAAATCAGGCCTGGCGCGGCGGTCACACCTGTAATCCCAGCACTTATGGAGGCCAAGGTGGGCAGATCACCTGCGGTCAGGAGTTCGAGACCAGCCTGACCAACATAGTGAAGCCCCATCTCTACTAAAAATACAAAATTAGCTGGGTATGGTGGTACATGCCTGTAATCCCAGCTACTTGGGAGGCTGAGGCAGGAGAATCGCTTGGATCCAGGAGGTGGAGGTTACAGTGAGCCAAGATTGCACCATTGCTCTCCAGCCTGGGCAACATAAGTGAAACTCCACCTCAAAAAAAAAAAAAAAAAAAAAACCCTCAAATCAACATATGGCTTTCTCCTTTCCCTCATTATATTTCTGCCTTGAATTAAAATGTTTTTAAATGCCTATTTAAAAGTTCTATTTACAGTTGGTTTAGTAAAGTTAAATTTTAACCAAATCTAATTTTACAAACCAAATTGAACTTTATGTGGTTGTTGTTGGTTTCTAATTTTATTCCCAACATAACAGCATAGCCATGCTATTTGCTAAACTAACATAAAAAATAGAAACCTACCTAGATTTGCCTTATGAACTATCTGTTTTGGCTTCCATATTTTCTTGAAAATAGCTATGCTATTTGCTAAACTAACATAAAAAATAGAAACCTACCTAGATTTGCCTTATGAACTATCTGTTTTGGCTTCCATATTTTCTTGAAAAGAAACAAATAGACAAAAATACAGGCATATAAAATGTTTATTTCTTAACATTCTTAATTTATTTTTAACAATTTATTCTTAACAATTTATTTCTTAACAATCATGGCATATAAAATTTTTAGTTCTTGACATTAGAAGTAGTTTTCAATTTAGAAAAATCTATAGTTGTTATATAGATTTCATGGGAATAGTGCAAAATTTCAAATAAAGGTAATACAGAATAAAGGTAATCGAAGAAATCTAGAACTCAAAAGCACCTGTGTTAGTTTAGTGTGTTTAATACGGTATTGTGATATATGCAGCTATAACATAGCAGATTTCCGCTTTAACCAGAAGGTGGGAAAGAAAGCCAGCATCTACGGAACACCATCACGCCTGGATTCTCAGGGAATCCAGTTTTTCTGCTAGGGTGACGTGGAGGACACTCTTGGTATTCACTGAGTTTTTCATTTATTTATCCCTAGCATGGAACAGGGTGGCAGGCATGACGGTGTTCAGTAGATGCTGGCTTTCTTTCCCACCTTCTGGTTAAAGCGGAAATCTGTTATGTTATAGCTGCATATTATCACAATACCATATTAAACACACTAAACTAACACAGATACTTTTGAGTTCTAGATTTCTTTGATTACCTTTATTCTGTTTAACTTTTCTGCTATCTTTATTTGAACAGTGCTAAGACGATGAAGACACTGTGAATACCTCAAGGAATCCTGCTTATTCATTGTCCCGCACTGGAAAATCTAAAAGGAGAGAAGAGGACAGATAGCTCAGTAAAGCAAAGGTCTTCATTCACCTTTGCAGACATCTCCTCTGAGTCCTGGGGCATACAATGGCAGGCTCATTCTGAAATGAAATCATCAACCTTTCTCTGGGATTTTGCAACTTCAGTTGTGGACTACCTAATCTATCCTTGTCTCTCTCCCAAACTCTTCCTTTATATTTCTACCTCAGTTATGCTTTTCTTTAAATTTCACCTTGGGATTTGTTTCCCACTGAGGAGCCTTCTCACCCAATGTGTTTTTATAGCAATGCCAAAACACCAATCATAGTCTTTCTAAAACTTGGTGCTCAGTAGCTGTTAAACTCAATTTATCTCTGAAAAAATATGGTCTACAGGGAAAAATCACACTGTATGCCTCTGTCTTTCCTCACTTACTTCTGCAGTTTTTGAAGGCATATGGCTTACTAGAGAGAGAAATAGAGAAGACTGAATTCAAATTTTGTTTCCCTCCTGGGTTAGCTAGCTGGGCAAAGTCTAGGCAAGTTACCTAATGGCTTCTTGCATTGTTTTCTCAATAGTGCTGGTTCTTTGTGTCTCAAGATAAGATTATAAATTTATACTGCTGCATGGCTGTAAGATTCAAAGTGTGGTCTGGGAAGCCATATGTATCCCTGGGACCCTTTTATGGAAACTACAAGGACAAAAATATCTTTACAGTATTACTAAAACATGGTTTGCCTTTTCCACACTCATTGTGCTGTAGATGAACCAAGTATACAAAGTTCATTAATCTGATTTCAAATTGCACATTGCAATTAACCTTTAAGAAACTGTAGAGTTAGTACCAAGGAAGAACATGTACATTCATCTGAATGGGCTATAAAAATATTATTTCCTTTCCAACTATGTCTGTGTGGGGCCAGATTTTTTTCATATACTTTAACCGAAACAACACCTTGCAACAGATTGAATGCAGAAGCAGTCACAAGAATCCAGCTGTCTTTGATTAAACCAGGAATTAAAGACATTTGCAAAAATATAAAACAATGCCACTCTTTTTACTAAATCGTTTTTGTTTTAAGAATTGTATTATTTATTGATATATATGCTACTTATATTCACATTTAGTAAACCAGTATTATTAAAAATAATTAAACAAATTTTTTTAAATCTCAGTTTTTAAAAATGTTGAGTACACTAAATATTAATAGATACAACTTATATAAACAAAATATCTTTGGTTTCTCCATACTAAATATATATACAGTCCTGAACAAAAACCATGAGAACCACTAATGTGGAATAATTATATAATTTATAATTTATATCATCCTCACATAATTATTAAGAAAATATGAAAGACCTGAGCTAGTATTTTGCCCTAAAGAGAAAATGGAAAGTTATTTTCTTTTTCTAATACCCTTCTAATGTCTTTCTATCACCTAATGTTATCTAATATTAGTTTATTCCTAATACCTTCTCATTTGTCAAATTTCTTCATTTAATTAAGAAATTGTATACATGCAAAACACATCATAGGATTTTGCCTTATTTGAATCTTTATATGTTGAACCCCTAAATCTATTGAAATTAAAAAAGAGAGTTTAAAAGTACATTAAAAATAATCTTTAGTGATTATTTCTTCCATGGGGTATAACTAGGAAATATTATTTTGAAAAACAGTAAGATTTGAATCTTTTGTTTCAGGGAATTTAATTGGACTTTTTATTCAGCTAACTTAGGAGGGCTGCTCATCATGCAGCAAAACACACAATAAAATTCATACTTAAAAGGCCAATATGAGTAAATAAATAAATAAATCTCTATATTTTAAAAAAGCCAATACAAAGAATCCATATTTGATGATAAGAACAGGTCACTCAGTCTTTCTTGAGAGAGGCTCTGCAGCAAAAGAAAAAAAGAGAATAGGTCACTCGGTTGTATTAAAGAAGGAGTTAGGGATAATTCACGATCTCTATAAATCTGATCTCATAATATATATTATTAGTGAGATATTAATAAGATGAAATTATAAAACAGCTATAGGACTAGGAAAAACTACCCCTGTCACTTTTTAAAGGGAAATCCTTATAGGGCCAATTCGTTGGGAGAAATAAAACAGAAGGGATAAGATCAGAACATATTCTATTTGTTTCTCTGCTTTAAGTACTAAATAAGTTCTGAAATAGCACCAGGTATTTGCAGAAGTAGAGTTCAGAAAAGAGGATATGGGAGGAGGGAGGTTTCAAAAGCACTGGAATTGTAACAGAGGAATTTTACAGAACTGTAAAACTAGTCAATAAAACTTTCTGAGAAGTCCTATTTGTCATATAAGCTAAGCAAAATGTAGTAAGGAACCTACTGGCATTCAGATGTCATGGATATATTATTGTTTTATACACACGTGCACGCACACACACACACACACCCAAAAATCCCTACATCTTCTTTGTTTAGCTACTTATTCATTCAGAAGTTATTGCACTGTCTCCCTCTATAGAGCCTAATGAAATTGGTAGATTAAATATAGTACAAAATAGGAAAGTAGAATAGAACCGGAACCCAAAGTAGTGATCAAAGGACATGGCAGTTACCAGAATCCTAGGGCTCAAGCCATTTGTCTATATTATTGTAATATTGACAACAGTTAACTGAGCAATTGATACATCTCAGGTCCTTTACACGTTAGCTTTCTTTATTCATACAGCTGACAAGCATCAAGTTTAGTTATCCCTATTAGGTGAGGAAACTGAGGGAAAGAAATCTTTTGCAGCCTGCAGCAGCTCAAAGCATAGCTGTAAAGTGGTGGCCACGAGCACTTAGTCACTGTACTATACTGTTCTTTATGGTCAAGTGTCTGTAGCAGGAGCTGAGATGCAGTGTATTGGGTCCCGGAGCCCTGACCTCAAGGAGCTCACAGTCTCATGTACTAGCCAGCTAACCAAATAACTAATTCAGACTACAATTTGTCCTGTAATCAAATTGTAGATTAATAAATAATGAGATTTAGGAAGAATGAAAAGACACTAAATAATTTTTTAAAGTACTCTATGTTTTCATTTGTGTAGCTTGAGTACCTGCTATAAATGAGGACAAAGCTATTGGAGAATATTCACAGCAATAGACATTTGAATTTTATTTTTATGAATCAATTCCATTTCCCTAGACAGAGAATGAGAGAGACCATTTCTTTTGCACATTAAGTATTGATAAAAATACACGTCACTACTACTAATAACCAAAAGGTAATATTCACTGAGTCATGGTATGTGTGCAATGTTGTACTAAGCATTTTATTTCTATTTTCTCATTTAACACTCACAATAAGGTAAGTAAGTGCTATCATCACCCTTCATTTATAGACAAGAAATCTTAGGCTTGGCAACAGCTAATAATGAATTGTTCACAGCCCAGGCTGTTTGAATCCAGCATCCATATCCTTAATCAGAGTACTAGACATTCTTTTAAGAATATCATTTTTTCCTATCATTTTCTCTCTTTCTATTGACCCTCTAACCTCAATCCCAAGGTCTCACCATAGGGTTAACTTGACTCTTGGCGTGCACCACGCCAGGAAGCACTAGTGCCCTCTGTTGCACACCGTATTAGACTTTTACATGTTAGTTCCACTTTGTCTTGGATCCCTACAGCTCTTCTACTGAAGGTGTTAGAACAGAATCAAGGATAGGGGAATCCCAGTAGTGACAGGAGCAGAGCTGTTTAGTAACTGGAAACCAAACAAGCCATTTAGCTTTGAAGCCACAAGAAAGGCTTCATTGAGATACCAGGCAGAAAAGATCAAAGCTGAGGAATACAAACATGCCTGTTGTCTGAATCAGGCAGTGAGTCACCAGAAGGGAGCCCACATCCTTTACTGCAGAGCAGATGCAATACATCTGAGAGGTTACCATAAACCAAATAAATACTGCCACAGAACTTCCCCTTGAAGTCTCCTGGAAATAAAAGCGCGAGCTGTCACCTGAAACAGGGAAAGGCTTGCTCTCTCTGCAGCTGGCATGCGGCCTCTGCCCCATCGTGTGTATAATGTCTTAATGAAAATTGAACATCTACTAATAAAATTACCTAAAAGCACCAAAGCACTTTACATATGTCTTTGAAGAAAACAACAAAAAAATTCATTTAAAACGTTCCCTGGGCAGCGATATATAAAGACTCCTTTCCAAATCACAAGGGTTTCGAGTTGATAGCGGACAATAAAGAGAAATACTGTGCTCTATGTAAGTGAACCTATGGCTCTCATAAATGTACAAAGTGAAAGGAAGCAGTGTTTTCACTTTTCTAGTCAGGAAACTTCTTGATTAAAGAGGGAATCATAAATGCATTCAACGTCTACTATAACGCAAATGCTATTTTAGGTATTTTATATGCGTGGTTGAATCTGATTGCTATTACAATCCTTTAAATTCAGAATTATTAGGTCTATGGATGCGACAATACACTGAGTCTCTTTAAGGTCATACAGTGAGGGGTAGAAGTAAAACATGAACTTTTTTCTTCGTGGCAGTACTAGGTTTTATTCAAAATTACTTCCTAATAAATTCTACCAGTTGGTAAACTGAAACCCGTCTGAGAATTCTGTAAAAATTTATAAAAGTTACCGAAAAGAAATTAACTGGAGAAATAAGCTATTTCATTTGTTAAATTTGAAGAAAAAAAGAGATAAGTTTAGGACCTCGATAATTAAGGATTGCTAACAAAAGCGGCAGCTTCAGCAAAAGAACTCTGCTCCTTAAACTTCATTTTAAAAAACACATTTTTGAGCGCACACTAGGGTCGCCAGCTCATCCTGACTTGCCCAAGATGGTTCCAATCAGGTGCTTTGTTTTGTGTTGGAGATACACATTGAGTAGGAATAGTTTGTTAGTCTATAATTAATTAGATGAAATCCAGGGGTGATGAGGGTGATGAAGTTGGTTATGTGAGTTCATTAACAAGGGACGTTTAATTGTCTCGGGAGTTTAGGGACAGTATCCTATGGAAGTGACGCATGAGAGGAAATGTGAAGGCTAATTAGATAACAGTCAGATAAAAAGGAGTTGAGGTAGCAGATCCTACAGGCAGAGAAAGAAACATGTACAAAGAGCAGATGGCAGAGGTGGAGGAGCTTTGGCCTACAGAAGAAAATTTTTGGAGAAAATTTTGGAGAAAATAAGGATTGCAGGAATAAAGAATGAGGATGAGCCAGTTGCAGGTGACACTCCCAGGTAGGCATGGGAGACCATTGAAAGGCTTGTAGACTGAGTTAAAGGTTTGGGGTTTTGCTCCAAGAACAGAGACAAGCCTTCAAAGGGCATATTTCTGGGGTAAAAAGGTAACTGCACTGAGAAGAACAGAGGGAATGATAGGACATTCAGTAGATGACTGCTGCAGACCAGACAGAGGACACAGTAGCCAGATTTGGTGGCCACAGTGGAGACTGAAAAAAGAGGGTGGACTATGTAAACACCTAGAGAGAAAAACCAACTGCTGACAGTTTCAGCATTAAATTCTCTATGACCTGAAGTGGAGGAAAATGTCAAAGATAATCCCTGATGTTTCTAGATCTTGTAAATAGATACATGGCAGAAATTTATAGGTTTAGTTTTACAGTTTAATAATTTCTATTTTAGCTGTTTAAATAATGATGTTCTTGCTTTTGTAATAATACCGGAAAATGCATGGAGTTTCCCTTACAAAAGATTTGTAGGCCCCTGCTACCACCTGTTGACTGTGTACCTTAATGGTGGAGAGAAAACACAGACTGTTGGAATGTTAACTCATCAAACATCAAGTTATAAATGATAGTGCACATCACACATGAATGAGGATAAGTAAACTATAAGGGGATAATTAATCTCAAAGTCCACTCTAGGTGAGTTTGGAGCCAGACCACATGAATAAAAACGTTTAGAACAAATTCATTTTAATCTTCATGACTTTGTAAATGATAGGAATTATAGAAGCCCAGTGCTGCTTTTATTTATTTATTTATTTATTTATTTATTTATTTATTTATTATTGGCATTTTACTGTTATCTTACATATTCTTTGAAAACATGTTCTTTTTTTTAAAAAAAAATTTATTTCCATAGATTTTTGGGGAACAGGTGGCATTTGGTTACATGAATAAGTTCTTTAGTGGTGATCTGTAGGTTTTGATGCAAACATCACCCAAGCAGTGTACACTGAACCCAATTTGTAGACTGAAGCACAGTGTTTTTAGAATATTACTTTTTGAACAGTTTTTATAAGATCCAACAAAATGATTGTGCAAATCTCTCTGCTCTTCGGACTCTGGTACATTCAGTAAAATTACTATGTTCACACAGCTTTTGAAAATATTTGAAGTCTGGGCGCAGTGGCTCATGCCCTTAATCCCAGTGCTTTGGGAGGCCGAGGCAGGTGGATCGCAAGGTCAGGAGTTCAAGACCAGCCTGGCCCATATGGTGAAACCCCATCTCTACTTAAAAAATACAAAAATTAGCTGGATATGGTGGTGTACACCTGTAATCCCAGCTGCTCGGGAGGCAGAGACAGGAGAATCACTTGAACCTGGGAGGTGGAGGTTGCAGTGAGCTGAGATCATGCCACTGTACTCCAGCCTGGGCAACAGAGTGAGACTCCATCTCAAAAAAAAAAAAAAAGCATTTGATTATGTTCACTGTCTAAGTCTTTTTCTCAACAACAGTTATTATTTTAAAAAGTAAAAGCCACTTTAAAATCATTTAGCCTCCACTTTGGGAGGCCGAGGCGGGTGAATCACAAGGTCAAGAGATTGAGACCATCCTGGTCAACATGGTGAAACCCCGTCTCTACTAAAATTACAAAAAATTAGCTGGGCATGGTGGCGCGTGCCTGTAATCCCAGCTACTTGGGAGGCTGAGGCAGGAGAATTGACTGAA